AGAGAGAGAGAGAGAGAGAGAGAGAGAGAGAGAGAGAGAGAGAGAGAGAGAGAGAGAGAGAGTTTCAACTCAGACTTCGAACTTTGAACTTTAAATTCCGAACTGCTAAAGTCTTGAACTTCATTTAATATTTACCTTTATTAAGTTTACCAACTTTACCATGGAGTGCTCTTTTTCTTGTTTCTTCCCTTTTTCTTCCCTTGCAGCAGTTTGTGCTTTGCAGTGACTGTGCCAGCACAGTGCACGTCAAGGAATGATCATTTGTGTTTGTCATATATGGCAACAGCTATGTCTTCCTGGAACCATTCCGGACCGATCCGGACATGCAAGTGAAGGTTAGACGATGAAACTGCATTCAACATGCATGAGTGACCTGCCAGTCTGCTTTTTTTTTTCAATCTGGACCGTTCCGGACATGATCATCCAGACCGATCTGGACCATGTCTGGACAGTCCGGACGTCCGGATCATATCCGAACCGACCGGTTGTCTGGGTCTGGATCGGTCCGGTGTCCGGGTCCGCGGTAGCCATGAAAATTATATATCAGGGTTCAGTGGAGTTGAGGGCCGAAGGAAAAGGGGCAGAAGTTGAGATGCGTACCTGCGATCATGGAGCATCTTCGATGGAGTGCAACCAAGACTAGTGAAATGCTTCTCGCCCTGGCCTTGTCAATTCTGCATCGTGATTTTGTTGTGAATGGAGACCTCTGCTGCAAATCGATTTTCGTTGATGTTATCTTGTCGTTTGAGTCAGCAGTCTCACTTATTGTTGTGAATTTGATCTGCCTGTTGATTGGTGAGTCAGAGACCGAACTCTCCTGGAGGAAAGGTTCCTCCCCCTAGTGCGGAAGTGGTTAGGGTTGCCGGCCTACCCGGGGGCATAGGTACCCAGCGGGACCCTAATCCCGTGAGAGTGAAAGTTTCGTGTGTGCTGTAGGTCGGTCTAGGGTAGGAACTCGCCAGCTGGATGTATCTTTAGGCAAAGTCAGAAGCACGGGCAAGAGCGGCAGGCGCTCGTAAAACAACCTGTCTAGCCGTAGGACTGGTACTGAACGGCGTGCGACTGAAAGTTGACAAGATGCAGTGAAGAGTTGTAGAGGTCAGTAGAGATTCGATAGCTGGATAGCACACAGGCAAAGCAGGGGTGAGACGTAAGGTCCACCAGGGAAGGAAGCCAGGGAGATCCCCCAAGGACCGGTGTTAGGAGAACCATGGAGGAAGACACCTGCCGTTCGCCGAAGGCAAGGGCAACAGCGCTGCACCCGCTTCCCAGGTCCTGACCGATTGGCAGGAAGTCAGGGTTTGTGTTGCCTGTCACACCCCAACTTATGGGCTGGGTACGAAGCCCTGCACTTCGGAGATCAGGGTCTGCTGCACAGAATCTCAGACTTCCAGGGGAATAATGACAATTGATCTCCTGTTGAGAGGGGCGTATGATTTCGCCAAACACGAGGGTTATTTCTGCACGAATTAAGCGCCCAGGTGAGTTACAGGGGTAAACATGAAAGGTTGTGAAATGGAAATGGGGATCTTCTTGAAGTATGCTATCAATAGTCACAGACCCGAAATATGATAGAATTGCGGGGGTATATGCAAAAGTTGGGTTGAAGCCTAGGGGTAATTTTGCAAATGAGCTCACACCAAAACTCTCTTCGAAGAAAATAACTTCAACTGAAGCACTATTAGGGTGTAAAATTGTAAATGCAATCCCTTCAGTGGGCCACAGATGCAGCGCCTCAGGAAACCCAGGAATGCTTGCCTGATATTGGGCCAGCGAGACCACCCCTGCACTGCAAGCGTCTCACCGCCTCTGTCGCATCGCAATCACACACAACCCGACACTCTAGCCAGCTCGATCATCTGCAGAATGGTGTAGTGTTCATGTGAGGGATGTTTAGCTCGATTCAGAGCTCAGATGGAGATTCTGCTTAGATTCACTCGATTTGTCCCTGAGACGTTAAAAAAAAAAACAAAGTAAGATACAAAAAAAGTATTTATATCAAATTATATCAATTTATATGTATATATCTTCAAACAGAGCTGCCTGGTAAACCGTAGGCAGAGAGGGAGAAGAGGACAAGAAACGAGGGGCTGTGACAAACTGTTTCGTCAGAGTTTCACCAACTCATCAGGAGGCTGAACCCTATATAAATATACATATGATGGGGTGTGAACCGACAGTCTGTAGAGTTTTCCCTCTGGTGTGGGCGAGTGATAGTCTGCTTTGATTTTCGTCACAGGTACCTTGAGGGCAGTGGTTGGTGCCCACCTCAGTGTATCAGTTGTCAGGCAGTCGCTGATGCTTAACCACAGCCGGGGTTGAGGTGGATTACACTTAATCAGTTAGGGGATTCTGCAGACTGTTGAGGGTTCAGCCTCCTGATGAGTCAGTGAATCTCCGACGAAACAGTTTGTCACAGCCCCTGGTTTGTTGTCCTCTTCTCCCTCTGTGCCCACGATTTACCAGGCAGCTCTGTTTGACTATATATTGTCACATCACTACAAACTAAAAGAGCGCACTTTGCGGAACAAAGAATAAAAGCAAAAAACGGGCACAGTGATAACATGCAAAAATAAAAATAAAAAGAAAAACAAAAAGAAAAAACAAGGGCAGATTGAAACCATTAAATTTCTCATTCTTCTTTGAACTCCACCTCCACTGTGCCTCTCACGTGCAAGGCTCGCCACGTTGATGAAGTTGAGCGCGAGCTGCCCCCATCCCCGTATGCCATAACAGCCCACTTGCACGCTGTGAGAGAGGCAGAGTGAAGGGGAAGGTGTTAAACACAGGGAAAATCTCAAGAATGAGGCTGTCCTTGACGACAGAAAGGACACACATTGTAAGGATGGGGTGGATGAGCGCATGGAAGACCTAACTGAGCATTCTCAAAACAACAACTGCCACGACGGCTGGCATTAAGCATGCCAACTATTCATTCCTGACAAATAGCATGTCTATTGCAGGCCAGAATAAAGGAAGAACGCCCCCCACAAAAGTGCATGCATTCAGCATAGCGTCCGTGGCCACAAAATGGACATATAGTGTCCGGATGAGGAGGGTGCCTGCAGTCAGGAACGGAGGGACAATCCTGTACACACATGGATGCAGAAACCATCTCGTGGTAGTGATTGTGACAATATATCGTCAAACAGTATATATCTAGGCTACCAGAGTGGCCCGGGGTCACTTGCCCGGCCGGACTAAAAAGATTTAATTTTATTTTAAAATAAAAAATATTTTAAAATTTTATTTTATATTTTAAATTTGGAAAAGAATTTCGATGTGACCCTGAGGCAAAAGTTGTTCAGTTTATTTTTCTGCATAACATAGTTTTTTTTCGGATTTTTTGGATTTTTTTTTTTTTTTGCTGGGACCCTCCCTTGTCCTTGCACAAGCTGGCCACCCGGGCCCCGGGCGGCCCGGCTGGTATCACCCAGTGGTCATCCCAGCTTGAATTGTTGACCAGGAGCAAAAGACAAAAAGACGTAATTACCTGCGACATCAGTCTTCAAAATATACTTTCATTTCCCAAGAGTTA